ARGRAAAWWAAAAAATGTAACGTGTTTTTACTTAAAATTATTATTTTGTAGAAACTGCTGAGAAAAGTGCTTAAACAACCTTTAAGCTTATTTTCCAAACAGTTCATTCAAATGATGCATTGATAAAATCTTTATTCGTTATCTGTTGACAAAATGCAGTTATTGAAGGGTTTAATGAAAACATTATCTGTTTGTCCACAGACCTGATTTCATGTGATGGCTCACAAATAATCACAGCACTCTAACCTTTTCCTTCTTCCTGCTTTTGTGTTGAACGYTTCCGCTTCCTGTTTCCTCTTTGAGCTTTTATTCTGAAAGCGCCCGTTTCTTTTCCGGTTTGCTGCTGTTTGTTTGGAGTTTCTAACTTGACTCTAGAAGAAGGTGTCCATGATGACAACTTAAAAACACTATCAGGAACACCCAGACCACCTGCGGAACCAAAATGTTTCTGGACCGGGTCTCGTGTTGGTTCTGGAGCGGTTCGGCGGGCAGACGTCCTCCGTGTAGCCGGTTAGCATGAAGCCAGGTGACGATGGGCCCGGAGAGGCGTGTTAGCTAACCCCGCTACCAGAGCTGCTTCATCGGTCAGCCCGCTCCGCCAGGACCGGGGAGGTCCATCCGAACCGCGGGCACCTGACGGGTGAGCTCCTGGGTAAAAACGTTCAGCTGAACCGGAGCTGACATGACGGTTTAATGACCGCTGAGAACCGATTCATCAGCTGTCAATCAAACCTGTAAAAACTACAGTCCGGATAAAAACCAGTTTATAATTAAAATATAACTTTCAGTTTTAGACTTTAAACAAATATATTCTGTTTAATGCATAAAACACAGATTAAACAACCAGTAATGACTATAATTATAACAAACTAATTATTAGAAGATAAATAGTTTAAAATCTTTTGATATAAAATCAGGCTTCAGTCAGGTCCTGCAGGGACCAGGTCTTTATGGACCACATGGGTCAAAAACAAGGTCTGAGGACCTCCTGAGCTGATCCCAGGCTGTGGTTCTGATCCAGATCTTCATCAGTCCAGCTGTGGTTCTGATCCAGATCTTCATCAGTCCAGCTGTGGTTCTGATCCAGATCTTCATCAGTCCAGCTGTGGTTCTGATCCAGATCTTCATCAGTCCAGCTGTGGTTCTGATCCAGATCTTCATCAGTCCAGCTGTGGTTCTGATCCAGATCTTCATCAGTCCAGCTGTGGTTCTGATCCAGATCTTCATCAGTCCAGCTGTGGTTCTGATCCAGATCTTCATCAGTCCAGCTGTGGTTCTGATCCAGATCTTCATCAGTCCAGCTGTGGTTCTGATCCAGATCTTCATCAGTCCAGCTG